ATTAGGGGATTACTTTGTAATTTTCGACCATAAGGAGGAATAATTGGAAAATTTTAATAAAAATGTCCGAGGGATTAGATTGAATTTAAGGATGATTTTCATGTTTTGGAATTGAGTTTTGGATCATTATGGAACAAAGTTAAGTTAGGAGGCCATTTTCGCAAGTGTTGAATGGAAGGATCAATTTGTAAGCATTTGAAAATTGAAACACTATGCTGGAAACTAGTGATGGAATTTTGATTTTGGATTGAAATGAAAATTTGTGTAATTTTATAGGGGTCTATTCAGGAGTTTTGAAAAGTTAGTGGAGAAAATTTCAAAAGTACAATACTAATGTATTAATTGAGAAGTGTTGGATATAGTAGGAAAATTATGGTTGATATGGATTAAAGCGAATTATTAAAGGACTTGAAAAGATAATTTAATAGAGTTAAAGTCAATTTCGGTTTAGTAAGAAATTAGTATCTAACGTACATGAATATAATTTTTAGAATTTTTGATTTGAACTAGAATTTATTATATTAGTATGAATATTGATATATGTTGAAATTGTCTATATGTCAGAAATCGATGACTGTGTAGTTCGTGATTGTAATCAAAGTTAAATTGAACCAGATACAAGGCTATAGTACAAAAGTGAACGTAATCATATTAGTGAGCGCTAGTGAGGCATCAGATGAGTGGATCTAACTTTTTATTAAAATAATACGAAGAAGACTTGCATTGAGTCAACCTCTACCAATTTGAAATGAAAAGATTTTCAAATCATATTTTGAATAGTTATTTTATTATGATTTTATTTATTTCATAGTAAATGATTATTTTTTGGAATGAATTGCCCAATACAGGTTTTATGAGATTTTATTTATACTTAATCATATGGATATTTTATATGGAAAACAATATACTATTTTGATATAAACCCATTGTGTATGGATTGAGAGTCTAAGGTACAAATGACATGCCATGAGATAGAGTTATTATATAATACATGTTTATATTTCACATATGGTGTAAATCTACGAGACACTTTCGAGTGCAAATATACTTATGAGACAATTTTGAGTGCATATAGCACACACACTCGATGTGACTCACGTACCTAATATTCTCAGTCAAAATACATTGGGCTATGAATTAAATACAAGAAAGATACAAATTTATATGTCTGGAGCATGAAAAACACAAGTTATATGAATTGAAAAATAATAAGTGGTTTACCAAATGCGTGAATTGACTCAATATGTTTTATATGTGAAATAACTTTGAAAAGTTTTATGTTATAAAAATTTTATTATTTTTAATAATTTATATACTGTGCTTTTATAAGATAATTTAGATATTATTAGTTTTATTAGAATTTGTCTAATGCCTCATTAAGTGAAAATTTAGCGTGTGAATGTTTCACACGTATGTACTAAGTAAGAGAGCAAAGTAGAACACGTACCAGTGTCATTCGGGGAAATTAAGTTCGACACAGGAATCATTAAGGACATCCGGTTTTGTTGTATTTGTGGTCAGTGGTATGTATATTAATGAGGTTTTAGATACTCTAATATTTATATTAGTTATATAACGGTTTGAACATAATATCTAGAACTGTTTTAAAACAGTAAAAAATTAAGTATTGTAAATAATATAAATAAATAGTATAATATTAAATTATGTTTTTAAATATTACATTATGATTTTATATGATTATTAGTTTTAAAAATAAAGAAGTGCATTTAAGATTTTGTACTAATAAAATTTTATTGGTTTTCAAATAAAAATTATTTTATTTAATTGGTGTGAATCTTTAACCCGTATGCGGTTACATATATGGTTAAGGGTATCACAATAACAACAAAATACAATATTTAAATTCAAAATGTCACCATATGTTCAATTTAACCCCTAAATTCATTAATATTTAAAATATAAAAAAGGTCAATGAGCTTATAAAAGAGTCATTAAATGAGATTGTACACGAACTTAGACAAACAAGTCGATAAACGAGTTTGTTTGTGATCATAAACGAACTGAACACTCTTCTATTTGTGTCTGTTCGTTTATTAAATGAACATGAACGTTTTGTTTATAATTGTTTATTTAACTTAACAAACAAACATAAACGAATGTTACACGAATAATTCATCGAACATTATATTCCTATACATCCCTAATTTTATCTACTATCTTATTTATGAATAAAATTAAATTTATTTGAGGATTTATAAATAAATATTATAAAATAATAAAAGAAATAATCATTTGCCTAAGTTCTTGTGGACCCTTTCTACAGATTTGATTCCATCAAGTCCATCGCCTCCAAACATTTATTTTTCAAAGTCTTGAAATTCAAATGCCCAATATATTGAAGACGTTGAAGGTTTCCTAAAAGGTACAGTTCTTGTTAGTTTTTTATTAAGTTAATTACAACCATGGTTTTCAGAATCGGACCGGACGTCGTAATTAACTATATTTAATAAAAAAATTATTTAATAAAAAAATCGGACGACGTCATAATTATTTAAAAAATTAAATAAAAATATCAAAAATATTTAATAAAAATTAATTTTTTATATCACAAGTTATATTCAAAGCAAGTCATAACATATATAAGTTAAAAACCATAAAATCAAGTGAAACAAAATGATTCAAATTAACTACAACATAATATTTAAGGTAAAACATATTAAATAATAAATATATAATTATATAACTATAATTAAAAAATAAATTTGGGGTTAAAAAATCATAACAAAATGATATTGTTTGGTTTAATTTTTTTTTAAAAAAACAATCCCACATGGCTAAGAAACATAGAAGAACATCCCAAAAGTCTAAAGAGTAAAAATATGATAACAAAACAATCTCACATTGCTAAGAAATATAGAAGAGCATCAAAACTCACTTCTATAAATAATAGAGGTAATTTGGCATTCAAAATCATGGAGTCTTTTGGTGAGCATTGAGTGAACTATTCTTTCACTTCAATCAAGCTTCTAATTTTTTTTTTTTGAGTTCAAGCCATTTTGAGTTCAAGTTTCAATATTATATTTCGAGTTTGAGTTGAACTTGATAATTTTTAGCTTGTGAGTTTGAGTTGAGTTGAGCTTACTTTTAAAGTTTTCAAGTTCGAGTCGAGCTCAGCAATACTCGAGTTCGACTTGGCTCGTTTAACAAACGACGTTGTTTGGTTTAATTTTTTTTTAAAAAAAAACAAAATTCCCGGTTTTTCCCGGTTTTCCCGGTTTTTCCGGTTTTCAACCGGTCCGGTTCGAACGGTTCAGCAGTTCTGGCCGGTTTACTAATAGCGGTTCAATCGGTTTAGATTGAATCGGACTAAGCAACGGTTCCCGATTGAACCGGCCGGTCCGGTTTTCAAAACAGAGATTACAACATATATTCTCAAACTATGACTCTTTTTTTAAATTAGTCCATAAACTTTTGAACATTTTAATTTCTCCCTAAACGATGACAAACATTAGAATGAGGGTTATAGTTTGAGGATGAATTCGGTATGTTCAAACGTTTAGGGCCCAATTTAAAATAAAAATCATAGTTTAACAACATATGATGTAATTAACTCATTTTTATGTATATTTTTTTAATTAATATAGGTTAAGTATAAGGTAGTATCAGTTCAAAGATAACTCTTAACCATTAGATATTGAACCCTTACACTCCTAACATTCTTAGTGCTTAAACTCGAGACCTAAATGAATAACAATAATTCTTTTATTGTTGATCATGCTCCCCAATTTCCTCCTCTCAAAGAATATTTTGTATGTAATTTCAAAGACGTTGGAAGGAAGCGGAGCTGCGGAAATGGAAGAAATTACGCGAGTGAATGGATTGAACTTAAATGAAAATGAATCACTGAAAATAAGCACTTCTGATTTTGGAGAAATTAGATACGATGGGATGTGATTTAATGAAATGGTAAGAAAGAGGGAAATCAGATGACTGCCGGTGGCGGAAGCAGTCAGTAGCAAAGCACATTTACATCCTATTAATTCACAATACCTAATAGAAAGTGATAGACTTGATCCAATAAATTTTATTATTTTAAATTTCTTTGTAAGTTCTTTAATAAATATAATTTTGCTCATAATTGAAATAGTGATTTGTGATTCATTCATTATATATGAAACCCTAAAATATAAATATAACATTAAATCTTAAAAGGGTTATATATATAGAGAGAGGATAGGATCTTATTATACAATATAAAATTCTTTTAATTTTACATTGATTTATGACAGTTAGATGAGTGAAAATCGATGTCTGAGATTAACAGTAGAAAATGAGAATATATTTACTGAAAAAAATAATGAGTCAATTATGATCCATTTACATAGTTTAAAACTTTTTTAGTTTTACAAAGATTTGAGACTGTTAAATGAGTGAATACATATACATATATATATATATATATATATATATATATATATATATATATATATATATAAGTTAGGATCTATTTACACAATATAATTTTTTTAAATTTTACATTGATTTAAGATCGTTAGATAAATAAAAATAAAAAATTAAAATTAACTAATTATTTTTTTAATAAATATTATCTTATTTCCTGTTATTAATTTCAACATTATATTTTCACCGTCTGCACCCGGTCTTGGAAATCTGCTTGTTTTGATATGACCGTAACTTTTACGCTATCTTTGAATCGAAAGAAAAGAAGCGTGACGAACAAGGTATGCTAAGTTTTCTATTTCTATTTGGACATTGATTAAAACATAATAAAGGAAATAAAATTATTATAAATTCTCTTCTTCTTCTTTTCCCGAAACACCCATTTTTCTTAAGTATCTTAAATTGGGATTATAATATTTCGAAAACTGATCTCGAAGTTTATATAAGTATCTTGCTCAGAAACACATATCTTCGCAGCTCCATGTGGGTTTGCCGGATATCGAAGTAAGATATTCCTTTTCTCTCTTAATCATCTACGATGAATTTATTTCTTTTGTGGAATATTAAGTTCGTGTTAAATGTTAATATGATATATGATTTTCATATTGTGGAGACCTTTCTTAAAATCAGGTTAAACAATTAGTTTTGGCCGCTATTGCTTTGAAAAGACCAGTGCTATTCTATTTGTATTTGGCCATGGCTTTGGAGCCTTCCTCCTGATGAGATTTTTGTTTCTCAAGAGTGATTATTTTGGTTCCGTTTGAACTATGAAGTTATATGTTAATTTCACCGAGCAGTTACGTTTGATTCTACTTTCGTGTCTCGTCTAATTATTCTTTCCTTTGCCATAGTTTGTGTATTTTTTGGTTAGCATTCTTTTTCTCTATGACTTCTACAACTATCGACCTGGAGAGCCCCAATACGTTGCTCTTCTCGGTGATTTTCTGCAGGTATTTGCATAACTATATCCGAAGTGTTTCCCTATGCATTACGAAATACAACGTGCAAACATCATTGATTCTTTCATTAATGGCAGTCTGTTGCGCAATGCAGTGCATTATTGTTCTTCTGGGGTTGAAGAGCTTGATCAAAAAGAGGCAACTAAGGAAGAAAGTCGTGAAGCCGAAAACTGCTTAGATATATCGAAGTGGTAGCAGGTGAAAATTGTTGATTTGCAGTGCCAGGTAATATTTTGTAGGATCATCCGTTACCGAACCGAACTTTTAGTAGTTAAGCTTATTTTAGTTATTTATTCACCGGAATATTCAAAAAATACGTTTGCATATTCAAATATTTTCCCTTCGATTACAAGTTTAAGTTTAAAAGTAGTGTTTGACTGAATCCGTCGCTTCATGACTCCACAGCAGTATTTATGACAGGCAAAATCAATTGCTCTCCTCTCCCATGTAAGCATAATGCTTGGAATTGTTATGTAGAAGATAGAAATGCGTGAACACGGTTGGTGTGGTATTTGGTTGTAGTGCATATAGTGAACATATTATTTGATGTTTGAGCATGATTTTAGTCAAAATTCTAGCCATAAATCCATTGCATCTATAAACTAATTTCTTATACATTATTTATATGCATTGATTCCTTGATGGCTGACATCAGGCATTGGACCCTTTATTTTTTATGCATGTGTCACATGATTTTGGTGGTCTTATTCTCAGTTCAGGATTGTTCTGTACTCGAGTCTGTTTATATAGAGGCCTTTCAAGAACTATGTTTGTGAAGACATTATGTATTGGTTGAAGAATACCATATCTATAATCCATAATTAATATAATTTCACACGGCCCGTTGCTCTTTATCTGCTTAAGCAGGCAAACTTAACATTATTTGTTATTTTCAGGTAAAAATACTAAAAAACGTTCTTGAAGAGGTTGAAAGAGTGATGCAAGAATTCAAAGGCACACTTTACAAGTCCATGGAAGATCCACAAATAGACCTAACAAGTGTAAGCATTTGACAAGCCCTTTTCAATATTTTGACAATTTTTACTTGTGAGGAAATATATAATTGATGTTGATTTAAGACCTAAATTTTCATGGATATTTGTTCAATATTAATGCTCGTGGTATTAAAATATTATTACTCTATCTTAATCTGGATGTTGAGGTGAGTATTAGATTCAAATATGTATATGATATAGATATGTGGTGGATTATACTTCCATACCTATATCCAAACATGTGTCAGCCATAAGCGTAGAACTCAGGTACTTTAAAAAATGACATGTTCGAGCAACATAACAATTATTTGATGCTTACTGACCCATGAGATGCAAGCTTGTTTCCCACTAAATCAATTTTATGATGTTAAAATCAGTTTTTACAAAATTTTCCGAGTTGCTTGGGTAAACTTTGAGTGGGATGTAGATAAAGAGAACATACTAGTATTATACAAACCAAAGGATTGCTATTGAGAAGTCAATGAAATGATTTCCATTAATTACCATGTTGGAATACTCCTGTTTTCATTTGAGTTGTAATGTTCCATGATCTATATGCCATTCCTGTTGTCTTAGGAGTAGAAGTATGGGATATTTATGCCGAAAGGTTGTGAGATGGTTGAAAATGGAATCTTGTTTTTTTTGGTTGAATTGGTGAGAGTATGAAACTAGAGTTCTAGGATATTGTCATAAATGTTATTTCTGACTATAAAGCAAATTATTGTGGCATTCAAGCCTGAGATTGAACAAATGTTGTTTTATTGATCTTACTTGCATTTTAAGCTGACCAAAAATTAGTTTTTGGGAATTCATATTTTTTAGGTTGATGAAATGATTTCCATTGATGTACACTACTTAACCATCTTTTGAAGATGTTTACTACTTTGGGCATTTACTTGGAAAGTTTTGAGAAGCCTTTCCTGGAGTGCACATTTGAGTTTTATGCAGCTGAAGGAATGAAATACATGCAGCAATCAGATGTTTCAGATTACTTGAAGCATTTAGAGGTGCCTCTTCATATTTCACTTTCTCAGTTAGCAGTGATTGTTACTCTGTATTTTGAATTGTGTATGTTTTATCCTTCTAAAAAGAATGTTAAATTTGTCACATTATTCCATATATATGGAATTTGAATGTTTATCCCTCTACAATTTTTGTGTAAGTTTATGTAACTGAGAATTGTGCATGGAATTTGAATGTTTATCACTTAATGTGAATATATTGTATGCAAATGGATTGCTTATATATAATATGATATATATTTAGTATTACAAGGCATTAAATGTGATTTAGCTTGATTATTTGTCAATCTACAATATATATATATAATTTACGAAATACAATCACGACACACAAATGTGTGTCATCTTCATTTATGTCGGGGGCTTCAATGACACGCAATGTAAGTGATAAATGCGTGTCATAAATTTATGACACACAAATGTGTGTCATCTTCATTTATGACGGGGGCTTCAATGACGCGCAGTGAGCATCATAAATGAGCGTCATAAATGCGCGTCATAGATTTATGACGCACAATTGCGCATCATCTAAGATTCATGTCGGTGGCTTCAACGACAGGAATTTGTGTGTCATCCGCACCCATAGATGACACGCAATGCGCGTCATTAAAGGGGTTTTTTCTAGTAGTGATGAATACACAACTTCATAATGATATTGCAAGTTTTCACCAAGGAGACGATGAATCAATGTACGAATATTGAGATAGGTATAAAAGTTTACTCCGCAAGTGTGTCAACCATGGGTTTCATGACTGGACTCAAGTAGTAATGTTTTACAACAGAGTTAATGCACCAACTCGAATGATGTTAGATGCCTCATCAAATGGCACTTTACTTGACAAATCACCCTAGGAAGCCTTTGATATCCTCGACAGGATAGCAAATAATGTCTATCAATTCCCAAATACAAGATTGAGAACTGACAGAAAAGTATCTGGAACATATGAATTAGAGGGTAAGGATTCAGTAGCAGCTCAACTTTCTGCCATAACCAGTGTGTTAAAAAATTTACAGCGTCCTAATGAGGTAAGAGAAGTCAAGGCCGCCAATAACAAATGCATATTGTGTCACGGCAACCACCATGAGAGTGAATGTCCGAAAAATCATGAATCCACCAATTTTGTGGGCAATTACAACCGGAGAAATAATAACCCCTACTTAAACACGTACAATCCTAGTTGGAGACAACATCAGAATTTTTCATGGAGTAATCAAGGGAACAATAACAATGAAGCAGCTAGTTACAATAGGCCACAACAAAGTAACTTAGACCATCAACATCAGAATTATATTTAAATCAACGTTTGTCTTTGTTTTATTTTATTTCAATAGTATGCATATTTATTTTGTCTAGACCAAACTTTTCTTCAAGTATACTTTATAGTGTTTTCTTGTTTTATTAATAATAGTTTTCTAGTTTGACAAGACAGTAGGAATTAGCTTGTGACAACTAGTTCTGGTTGTGGTGAAGCTTAAAAACATTCAACCAATCCCTGAGGAGACGATACTCACTTACCCTTTATTACTTGATTCAATTGTGTATACTTGCACAAAATTGCTTCCCTTAGCATATACATTTACAAGCGATCAAGTATCTTGCCTGCCAACATTAGATTCACTTTTGAACCCATATCATTATCCTTCGTATGAGGTAAATTATCTTGCTTTTTAGATTCTTCATGCACAATCTCAGAGCTGGTATCATCGAGTTTCTTCACCCTAAACTATCTTCCTTTTTACTTTTTACTTTTTACTTTTTACGCTGGGTTCCACTCCTTAAAGTGATAAACCTACAACATTTCTTACCTTGAGCTTTTATGACTTCAGTATCACTAGGTAAATGTCCTTGATGTTTAACATGCAAAGCTTGGGTGATTTTCCCAACTTGGGTTTCCAAAGATCTTAAAAATGAACTATGACTTTGAAATATTGCTCATTGGCTCTTTATAGATGCAACGTGGTATTGACATAAAGCCTTTGTGGTTGCCATAAAATTTTGGAAAGTAGCTTCCAAAGAATTTAAATTTATTGAAGATATTAAACCCTTGTTATTTTTCCATGAAAAATTATGTTGAAATCTTGGGAGTTCAGTCATATTATTTTTTTATTAGAACTGCTGGTGTAGTTATTGTTTCTTTGATTTCCCCAATGAAAAGTTATGATGCTGATGTCATACTGGGTTATAAATATAGAGTACGAGTTATTGTTACACCAATTTTAGTTCCCCACATGGTTGCTATACTCTTGATTCTCGGGGCAATCACCAACATGATGATTTCTGTTGCAAAGAACAAAGAACTTTTAACTTTCACTTCTTTAACTTTATTCGGACATTGTAGATTCTTTAACATATTGGTTATGGTTGATAATTGAGTTGAGATAGCTAGCATCGCGATCAAATGTGCCTTGAGTCTTGAGGAAGGGAATTGGTAATCATTGTTGGCAATCTGATCGAGGATATCATATGCTTATTCATATGATTTATCCAATAAAGTGACATTTGCTGAGACATCAAACATCATCCTCGTATGGGCATTCACACCATTATAGAACATGAAAACTTGTGTCCAATTTTGACATCCATGGTTCATGCATTTGTGCAGAAGACCCTTGTATCTATCCAAGCATTCATACATAGACTCATCATCAGCTTGACATAAGAAAGCAATATCATTCCTAAGTTGGGTGTTCATATTGGGTGAGTTATAGTGCAAAAAAAAAGCTCTTGCATAAATTTAGTCAAGACTCCATTGATCCAGATGGTACTCCAATTAGCCATGCTCTCGCTCGATCCCTCAAAGAGTAAGGAATAGTTTATGCTTTAGCCAATCGTTATGCACACCTTGCTATCTAAATGAGTCACAAACTTCTAAGAATACTCATATATTATGCCTAGCATCATTAAGAGGCAAGCCACCAAATTGTCCAATAGAGTTTAACATATTAAACATCAATAATTTGAGTTCAAAGCGGTCTTCCTGAATCTCTGGTGCTGCAATGCCCGGATTAAGATTATCCGACATAGAAGCAAGCTATTTTTTAATGGTTCGTGTTCGAAGTGCAACCCCATTATTTTGATTTGCTCAAGTATTGAGATCTTCATTATCCTCAACTTGATTTTGATTTCCATAATACATGACTCTTTGTGCGTGTGCTCTTTGATGAAATACTCCATCAATTTCAGGTTCAAAAGGAAGTAATGGTGTTGTTGGTCTTCCTCTGGTCATCCAACAATAGAACACCTAAAAATTAACAAACACAAATAAAATGTTTAAAATAAAACTAAAAGAAATGGTGCAAAAACTAAACTTAAAATCACCAATTGTCAATCCTCAGCATCAACGCCAAAAACTTGTTGTGTGTGTAAATATGATGCACAAACTGTGCAATTATACACGTCACTCAAATAATAAAGTGATGAGTAAGGTCGCCTCCATAGGGATTTGAGGGAATATTAAGATAAGTATTTACACTCAAAAGAGTAAATCGAAATATTGTGATTGAAGTCATATGAACAAAGTTTGATAAATGTTGTAACAAAAGTAAGGAGCAAATTGGGTTATGAGGGTCACCCTCGCCTCTGCAATATCCGATCTGGATTAGTCGATAAATAGATTAGATAGCAGTGGTTAGTTCAAGAAAAAAGTAAGGAGAACTGGGAGTGAATAGATAAACCAACAAATCCACACAAGTGTTAAGTACTCATGATGGATACAAGGCTGGGTTTACTATGGAATCCTATGATTTGTTCTAAGGATATGTCTAACACACACAAGTAATACAATGCTTGATGGAGTTTACAAATTTGCCCTTGCACTATTCCTAGCAAGAGACCGACAATAAATTGATAAAGCAATACATTCCTGTGTAAACCCTAGCAAGCTACTATCCATTAAACACTACTCTTTTTAGTGGTTGAAACTCTTCTTTATTCCTAAGACGAATTAGGGTCAATCTTCCTAGATCAACCCCTTTGTTCACGTAAATCTAATTT